TTTTTTTTTTTTTTTTTAAGTATTTCAGTAACATTGTACACCACTTCACATTATTATCATTATTATTTATTTTCAACTTTTAAATACAGAACAAACTATTATATAAAAAAAATTATTATTTTTTTTTAAAGAAAAATATTACTACTTGTTATAAAAATAAATTTCTTATTATTATTATTATTATTATTTATGATAAACTTATTAAATTTTTTTTATGATATTCTTCTTCTTCTTCTTACCTTTACTATTATAATGTATACAATTATTATTATTATTATTATTATTAAATAATGAATGAATAAATAAAATTTAAATCATTACAGATAACTTGAAAAGAAATAAAGAAAATAATAATAATAATAATAAATATTAAATCAAAGATGATAATAATAATAATAGTATTAAATCGAAGAAAATAATAATAATAAATCAAACAAAATGACTTTTTTTAATAAAATCAAAATCGTAACGTTATATGACCAAAAAAAAAAAAAAAATAAATTAAATAATTATTTAATTTATATTAATTATTATTATTATTATTACATGGAGATCATATAAATAAATAAATAAAAATTATTTATTTATTTATTTATTTAAGTCACAAAACGTTACGAGGAACTTGACACAAAATGAAAAAAAAAAAAAATTAATAATAATAAATTAATAATTGGGGGAGAAAAAAAAAAGAAAAAAAATCATAATAATTTTTCTATTTGCAATTTTATCATTATCATTATTATTATTATTAATTCCCCCGTCCCCGCACCCCGCCCCCCCGCTTTCGGTTAAAAATTTATATATACTTTTGAATCTGACGGATTTGTCACGTGACAATTAATTTTAAAACAGTTGTTAATTAATTTTGTAAAACGGAACCGTGAGTAAAATAAACAAGTTGTACACGTTTAAAATCAATCGATAAAATCGATGACACGGATACCGTATTAATAATAATAATAATAATTATTGTTGCCCACGTGTCTGTTGTTCACGATTCGATACATAAATTCAAAGCCGAAAAAAATAAATAATAATAATAATAAAATAAATTTGCTGATGGAAATTAAATTAGAATGTTTTTTCCTTTTTTGTTGTGATTTTTTATCCCATTTATTTTTTATATGTATATACATTTACAGCTGCTTTTTCTCATTATTATTATTATTATTATTTATTTATTTAAATAATCATCATCATCATCGTCGAAAAAATTAAAAAAATAAAATAATAATTTTTTTTGAAATGTGTGTGTCGTACAACAAACACACTTTTTTTTTCATATTCTTCTCATTTTTATTTAATATTACAAACTACAATTTTAATTAATATAATTCTCACAATCTCTCTATCTCTCTCTCTCTCTTTCTCTTAATTAGATACTACTATCTTTTTTCAAACAATAATTCTATCTAAAACTAAATTATATTATTTATATATATATATATTTGCACTGATATATATTTGTTTTTTTGGTACCTTCACAAAAAGTGTAGGTAGTAAAACACACATATTATTATTATTATTATTTTCTTTTTTCGTCACCATTTAATGATACCAAATATATTTAATTAATTTCCCCCAGCCCCCCTCCCCACCTCTCCCAGAATGATATTTTATCAATATGTTTGATATTATCATCGTCGTCGTGTAAGAAAAGGTGAAAATTAAGATGATGATGATAATAAATCGTAATAATTCGTTATTAGAAAAGAGAATAAGAGAGAGAGAGAGAGAGAGAACATAATCGGAGATTAAATGAAAAAAAAAAAAAAAAAGAGAAAAAACCACAGTAAAAAGGTTAAAGAAAAACCACGACATTGTTTTTTTTTTTCTTTTTATATGTCAAGTTATAAGAAAAGAAAGAATTAAAGTATATGTTCATTGACTCGTGTGAACGTTAACCAATTTCTTATTATTATTATTATTATTATTAACATTATTATTATCATTATTTTCCGTTTTTTTGTCTTGTTTTTATCATTATTATTATTATTATTATTTTTGTTTGTTTGTTTTTGTATATAAATAAATAAACTTATTCATTGGTTTTTTTATCGGCATCCGATGGGGGTACCTGTGCAGGTTCGGATTCTGACGATGCTGCCGTTTCCGCCTGACTTGATTCGACTCCTGATGAAGGAGGTTCGGATGCGGTGGTTTCTTTGGTTGTCGTTTTTTTATCTTCTTTTTCTTTTTCTTCTTCTCCTTCTTTTTCTTTTTCTCCGTCTTTTTTTTCTTTTTCTACCGTTTTTGTTTCTACCTTTGTTGTTGTTGTTGTTGTTTCTACTTTGTCTACTTTTTCCTTTTCTTTTTCTTCTTTTTCTTTTACTTTTTCTTCTTCTTTTTCCTTTTTATCTTTATCTTTTTCTTCTTCTTTTTTAGATGTTGATTTAGATGATGACTCCTCGGTTTTGGTTTCATTTTCTAATTGTCCGTTTTCTTCTGTTTTTTCTCCCTGAGTTGTTGTTGTTGTTGTCGTCGTCGTCGTTTCTTCAACGTCCATTTTTTCCTCCTCTTCCTCTCCTTGTTTTCCTTTATTAACAACTACTTTGTTATTATCATCATTAGTTTCTACTTCTTTCGTCTCTTCTTTTTCCTCCATTGAATGATCTTTATTATTTTCTTCCTCTTCATCCTCGTCTTTTTTTGAACCTTTTCTACCTCTACCCTTTCCTCTGGCACCACCTTTAATTAAAATTATAAAATTTACTTTTTGTCTACTAACAGTTACTTACTTTTTTTTTAACATTTTAATTAATTAAAAATTATTTTTAACCTTTTCCAGGGGTTTCTTTTTTCTCTGTTTTGGCAGCTGGAGTCTTACGTTCTCGTTTAGGTGGAGATGGTGCAAGTTCAACTGGTGGTTTCGTAGATGATCTAGTTCTTCTCCTTCCAGTTTCATCTCCGCTATCTTTAACACCCATACTCTAACACACACAAAAAAAATAATTACACACATTAAATTTTAATTAATATATATACATTTCTCAATGTGATGCAATAAAATTACAATCAATCATTATTACTTACTTTTAATATTTCCTGACTTTCTTTGGCAGCTCTTTCGGCAAGAGAAAGCCTTGCTTTGCTTTTTCGAGCAGGTTTATTATCTTTTTTATCATTTTCCTCCTGTTCAATTGAAAACATTATATAAATAAATTATATATATATAAATAAATACTACCTGATAATATTAAAAATAAATTTTTTTTTTTGTTTTTTTTTTTTTTAAATTGATTCTCTGTGATTTTAAAATTGTTTTTACAATTTACATTCTTATAACCTACTCAGTTTTAATAAATTAGGGATTAAAAAGGAAATTATAATACAATGAGAACCGGTTTGTAAAGTACTTTTACGACGGCAACTGTATGATTTTACTTATAAAAATGATGATGACAATTTTCAACAAAAAAAAAAAATTATTTCTAATCAAATATTAAATTAGTTTTTTAAATTTGAAAAAGTTTTCATAGAAAATCTTTTGGCGGGAATTTACTTATATAAATAAAAATGGCGGATAGGCTCGGCGTTGGCTATTGGCTTGTGCTTGAAGGTCACCACTTTACACTAGTGATTTCACCGATTATAAAATAAACGAAAATTTTCCGATTCTACATGGCACAAAACACATAATTGAAAATTTCGAAACACTTCATTTCTTATAATTGAAATTTAAAACGTTTTAATTACGCGGATAACAATGAAAAATATAAAACAAAAAAAAATAATCCTCCTTTCATATGCAAGTTTCACGTCCTAAAATTTTTTTAACAATAAATAATTGAAAATAAGCATTTACCGTGTGAGAGGCATCTGTGACATTATTGGCTTGATTTTCAACTGCACTTTCTGACATTTTAATTAATATTTCTATAAATGATACAAGTATTATTTGGAATAAAAAACAAGAATCACAATTTACAAAGCTTTCACTTCGTGTATGCAAACAGCGATGGCGGTAGCGTGGGTCACATGACTTATTACGTCACGAATATATGTGATCATAAGAATGATCCAAGCAATTCAAACTGTCGTTTTTTTTTTTTTTGTTCAGAGTTCGTTGGACTTAAATTTATCACTTTAAGAAAAAAAAAAAAATTATTTAAAACCAATTATTACATTCCAATAGAAACTAAAATCAAAACTAACTAAAAATAAATTTATTAATTAGTTTTAAAGCCTTTGTCATGAATATGACTAAAAAGAAATAAGAACAAGGTTATTGGCATTAAATTAACGTAAACAATTAAACCTTTTCTATTTTATTTTAACTCTCTCATTATTATTTAATTTTAATAAATTAATATCTCCACTCTTTAATACATAATCAATTTTATGTATTTTTCTACAAAGTTAAAATTTTCCAATTAAAACGGATTTTCTTTTAATTTAAATTTTCCAATTTTTAAACTGCCATCACCACCATCAAATAACGAATAATAATAAAAAAAATTAAATTAAAAAATAGCAAAAAAATTTTTTATTTTATATTTTTTTTAAATATACAAATATTATTATTATTATTTAAGTGCACCATATTAATATTAAAACTTTTTTTTCGTCTATTTTTTGAGCAGTTTTCTTATAAAAAAAAAAAAAAAAAGATAATCTTCATTTTTTCATTGAATGGTAATACTAATAATAATAGTAATCCAATCACTTTTATAAAAACTGTAAATTAATATATTAATAATAATAATAATTAAATGTTATTGAAGAAAAAATAGAAAATTTTAATTTAAAAATAGAAAAAAAATTTGTACATCTATCTATTGTTCGAAAAACAATTAGTATTTAATTCAAAAAAAAAAATGAAGGTGAATAAACTCACATTTTACAAATATTCTTCTAATTTAACGTTTCACCTTTTTCTTTCTCCCCCTCCCCCTTCTTTCTTAAATTTTAAGTAATTACAAATATTACCCCCTCATTTTAATCGAAATTTTAATATTAATATTCTTCATCTTGAGGTAATCTTGTGTTTTGTGAGTTATTTAAAATTTCAACGATTTGGCAAATAAAGCGGCCATTGCTTTTGTTTTATCACCGTGAAATCTTCTCAGCTCTGAAAAAACTTGTTCACGTCCGAATCCCATTTTTTCAATTTCTTTAACGTCGCTTTCCGTGAAATTATCCGTTGGTCCAACTTCCAAACAATTCAAACCCCTTTCGTTTAAATTCGTACCGGAAATTGTTGTGCCTTGACTACTACTACTGCCACTATTACTACTATTACCACTACCGGAAGTGTAATCCCTTAATCCTGTAATAATAATGATAATGTTATCATATCCATATCGATTCGTACCGTTATAATATAGCAACTACTCACGATCACCATCTCCTCTGTTTTTATTTCCTTTTGTACTGTCGACGAGAGCTTTTTGTAAAGCTTCATCTTCAATTTCTCTTATGCTTTGACGCACGGCTTCCTCTACGCTATTACAACTAAGACGAGCGTATTCGGGTAATTCACTTTCGGCTAAAAATGGCGTTTCCGTTCCCGTTGTTCCTATTCGAAGTACGTTTCCTTTTAAATCTATTGAACACTGAACAAAAACAATGAATTATACGATTAACAACTAATTATAATTAATAATAATAATAATTTATTGAAAATTATCTTCATTACCATGTCTCATACTCACCACTTACTTTTTTTTTTTGTTACAGTCATTTTGAAAAAGGGGAAATAAGTAGTAATAATAATAATAGTAATGTTATGATGACATGGATATAAAAAATTTAATATTAAATATACATTTTAAGTTAGACTCCAACGTTTATATATATATATACAATAATCAAATCACAATTATTTATTATAGAGAGGTTTATTACCTGGGTTAAAAAACGTAAGACAAGTAAGTAAGTAATAATAATCCATTCAAAAAAAAAAAAAATAATAATTTCAAACGAATTAATTTTATAAAAAATAAAAAAAA